CTTGCTGCCTGCACCTGGCCTCCGTGACTGTGCTTACGAGTTTCTGTTTGGACGGGCCTTGTCACTTCAGTCGCCTTCTGCACCGAACGCCTCAACCCGCCATCTCTGGGCTTCACTTGCACACTGCTTGCACATGCTATCCTCTCTGGGCAAGCTGCGGATTGAAGTGCACCGAGGCGATAAGCACCACCTCTCTGCCACTGGAGGGCTCGACGAAAGGCAAGACCTGTACTGGTGGAGCGCTTTCGACTGGGACCGGAAAGTGTCGCTTCAGGAACAACAAGAAGGGTTCCCCCTGCCTGGGGCTCCCGGGCAGTGGCCCGACGCGTGCATTTCTTTGCCGCAGCGCCGGCGAGCAGCAGCGGCGCAGCTGTCGGAAACTTTTGAGGCAAACCCAAAACAGGTGCAGTGCCGTGCAGCGACCGGGCCAGGCCTGCCACGAAGCCGTTCTTCCGATGGGCCTCGCGGCGCTGGGTCGCTGCCGGAACGGAGTGCCCAGGTGCGCGGCTCGTCGCGGTGCTCCTGATGGGCCTGCAGGGAGCCATGAGACGTCGGGACCGCTGTATTTTTCCAAGTCCGTCCTGGCGCTCAGGCCGGGAGCCGCGACGAAAGGCAAAGCGGCCATCTCCCTGAAGAATTAACTTCCGAGGACTTCTCCAAGCTGGTTGCACTTTGCAGCTCGGTGCAAGAAGGGTTTAGGGCTTGCTGTTGTCATTGTGCAATGCTGCGAGCCCCGGCGCTGAAATTCTCCGCAGTCGAAGCTGCAGACAGTAACGATGCAACGAACAAAGAACTCTGCTCCCTCTGCATTTATGGTTATCTGAAAGCTAGGGCAACACGACATCCAAAGCACATTGTGTTTTTTTCGGAGATCCGTCACGCCACTTGATGTCTTCTCCGCTCAGCAGCCTTGGCTTCAGCACCCCTGGGGCGACACCGGCGAAGCTACGAAGTCAACCATCCGACATCTCAAAGTTCGAAGTCCCAGGTTCTGTGAGGAAGCCTAGGGCCGAGTAGCGGCACCGACGAGAAAGAAAAAAAATCATCGGCCAAGCGGCCGGTGAGGTCGAGCGAGCTTCGAAAGCCCGCCGGTCCCTGCGTCCTTGGCCTTGGCCTCGTGGAGGCGCCCCGCCCCCAGGCGGCCCCTCAAGGGGCCAAGTGCGTCCTGGGGTTTTTCTCCAACAAGAACAAAGCGGCGCCTTCCATTTTTCCCCGGCCTTTCAAGGCTGGCGTCGGTGGCCAAACACACTCGCCTCAAACGGAACAGCAGCGAACCAGCTGCACGGAAAGCCAGCAACTTCGGCCAAGTGGCGCAGTTCTCCCTGCTTCTTCAACCGGCTAACAAGATCCTGCGGTGGAATTGGTGCAGTGATCATCTATGACATCAAAGCACTGGGGAGCCTCCGGGTGAATTTTGTGACTTTCCATCTGACTACTCAACCGCTTCGCGGCCCCAGAACCATGCTGATCGGCACCCCCCCCTTCACCGTTCCACATGCAACACCGTGAAGGTTTTGTTTGCGAGGTTTCTAGCGGACCTGTGACAAACCACAAGTTGGCCTAGGTGAAGCTCTCGGAAGCTCCCTTCGCCTTTCGAAACGTCAGACGTTAGCGGCGTGAGCGGAAGTCAGTGGCAGCTTGTCCTCCATGGTCTCATCGAAGCCTGCCACTTAGCGAGTCTTGGACGCGCGTCTCTCTGTGGCAGCTTTTCCGCCAGCAGTCCCTTTGCCCTGCTCGCAGTTTCGCCTTTGAAGGTCTCGAAGTAGGAGAGGTGGGCGTCGCAAAGGAGCTGGGCAGTGGCACAAGCAGAGCCTAAGCTGCTCCGTGCAGAGGGTACAGGAGGTGCCATCGAGGCAGGACCATTGCTTTCCCAGGCGCGCGTGCCCTCGACAACCAGCGCGTGGTCCTTGTCATCGAACCGGACGCTGCTCGCACCGCTGGCGATCTGTACCCGTTCAGCCACCTTGCAGGTCCCCGCTATCTGGTGCTTTGGGCTTGGGGGGACACCGTGTCGAGTGTTGTCTTGAGACTCTGAATAGTGTTGGCCTTGGTTTTGCAACGTAGGGAGCTGAATTGTGACCAATCTCACTGGCAGATCTGTGCCTGACATGGAGGCCTTTGGCATCTTTTTGGGGCGAAGCATCTTGAGGTTGGGATTGTAGCGGAGCAGCTCAAAGTCTGAAAGGTGGGTGGCCGCGGTTGCCAATTGCTGGCTGGTGGCCGTCCCATTGCGTCCCAGGATCCAGCTCTTCCTCAGCCGGCACAGTACGTATGAGTGCAGATCGTGGCCACGTGGGAGGCAAGTCCACAAGTTGCCGAAGCAGACGTTCACCAACACGTCCACAATTATGTGTCATCATACACATTCTCCCGATTGGATGCGTTCCCCGGATCCCCTAAGCTAAGCAGTGCTGCTCGACGTGTACGTAGTCAGGCGGTATCCTGAAAGGTGACTGTGCCGAAGCTACACAGACGACCTCGTTTCCCCAAGCCGACCACGGCCTACCCACGGCCCAAGCATTGCAAGTGACCCCCAGCTGTTGTTTGGAGGCTGTCGTGCTGACTAACCTATGTGCACTGGAGGCCATGGAGGCTCATCGACGGAGCACAGGCTCAGCAACCAAGTCGAGACTCATCCCCTTCTCCACGAGAATCCGCTTCGTGATCACTTCTGCCATGTCTCGAACTGCATGGACATCCTCCTGAATTCTACGGGTTACTCAACCAATGCAAGACACAAGCATGCTCGTTGCCTCGTTCTGACCCAGCACGTGGACGCGCTTGAAGCCGGGAGTCTGTGGTTCAGCAGATGTAAGATCTACTTTGCGCAAGCCGAAACCCAGGCAGTGCCTCCGCCTCTTCAACCACAATTCTCACGGTATGCTCCTTCTGCATTGCCTGCCATGTCTAGGTCTGCGCTAAGGACGTCCGCGTTAGAAGCAGACCCTCAGAGCCTCAATCCAACAATGGGTATCTGCTTTCTTGCAGGGTCGGAATGCATACCGCCGGATTACAAAGAAACCAGGCCTGGAGTACGAGTAAAGCTACTGACTGCATCGTTTCGGAAATTGGACTTTCTTGCACAAACCACTGTTTCGCATCTCGCACGTAAATTTGAAACCTCAGTGACTTGGGTGCCTTGATGTTCGTGTTGCAAGCCGAGACTAGCAAAATGTAAAACTTTTCAGTACGGTGTCTCGTCTCCGTGTTTTGATGCGATTTTCACAATGGGGCTCCACTTCAAAGCCCTGTCCCTGAAGCTTCATATAATCAAGCACGGGGAGCATCTTCCTGAAGCAAGAATGGGTGCAATGGTGCCTTCGTTTGCTATTCCTTTGCTCCTGACCGAATCTCTTCGACGGTTCCACGCTTTTGAGAGGACTGGCCTGCTCTGCTTAAGATGCTCTCTCTTTCGCTCAATGTGTGGCTACGCGGCCGGCCCAGCATGGCCCAGCCTGGATGTTTGCGCCGCTCTTGCCGATGAAGCGGCCAACCGCAGCTTTGGGCAAAGCGAACTCCGCCCTGGAGAAGCCTGGCAAGTTGATTTTCTCTTGAATCTGCTTGAGAAATTTGGGCTTCGACTCGGCATGCGCAGTGCGCCCTAATTCTGAGTGGGCCGGGGCCTCTCTGCAGCATATGCCCGTACCCAAATCTCACAGCAGATGGGGTCCCAGGACGGATACGAGCTGGGTTTGAATGAGAGATGTGCAGATGTATTAAGTAGTGTCCAATATACAGATCTCTATTCACCCATAACACCAGCTTGACACATCTTACTCATCAACTCATTATCGTTGTCAATATTGAGTCCTTCACAGACGCAGGTGGATACACTCGCACTGATTTAAAGCCACGCATGCCTCTATTAAAGTCTACGGCAGGTCTCGGCACACCCTGCAGCGCCTTCAGCGGGCCGGCGAGGGTCCATGTCCGCGAGCTTCTTTACCTATGGCACCAGTAACAGAAGAGGATGATACGAAGAGGATGATATGGAGACAGGACAGGCCCCTTCATTTTCTAACGATTCTGGCCTGCCGCTCTAAGAGTGCCTTCAGGCGCGTCTGCTGCGCCTCCTCAAAGCACTTCACCTCGTGGGAGTGGCGGTGCATCGGGTATGAGCCATGACATGAAGGCTCGATGCGACGAGGCCTTCTCCTGGTTCTGCAGGATTGAGGGAATGAGCATCTTGGCTCTCTGCACTGCCTCGGGGAAGCTCAAGTTTTGGCCGATGCCAGAGACTCCGCCCACACCGGGACGCGCCTTCTTGGTGCCAATGGCTATGACCTTTGCCTCCCGAGTGCCAGTACAGTGTACCTGGCAAGATTGCGGAGTCTACGCTACGCGGCTTTGTGCCGAGAGCAGCCCATGCATAAGGTAAGGCCTTCAGGAGATCAGAAGGAGCGCAGCGTGCCTTGGACAGCGCGAGTAGCTCGTGTGTGCTGCGTGTCATTCTGCGGAGCTGAAGCGGCCACATCGCCCGTCTGAAGGCCCACGGCCATGCACTCGACCTGGCCGATAAAATCGGAGTTGCATCACAACTGTCTGGACTCGAAGGTCTTGGAGCCGTGCGCGTCGAAACGCGATGGCGGCATCCGGGGAGTCGAGCCATCGTGCGTAGGACACATCGACCGTCACCTTTCTGCGGAAACCCGCGCAGCTGAAAAAGCCATTTTCCAACTTTGCTTGGCACGACAAGAATCCCCAGTGGCGCGGCGCCTCTGCTTTTTGTAAGACACCGGCGACCTCTGCATAAATGTGACTCAGAAAGAACGAAGCCATGGGTCTGCGAGCTCCTGCTGCACCCAGACTTGCACGTTGTAAGATCAAGGCATTCCCCTCGCGGCTGGAGCAGGGCCGGAGACGCGAGCGTGGCATCAGAACCTTTCAGGTTCCCGAGCTGAGCTTCAACAGAAACCCGATCCTTCAGCACTATCCTTGCAGCGTTCGAAGGAGCTGTCTGCAGCGTTGGCGTTCACCCAACAGGAGGATTTGTTCAGCTTCCATGATTTCATGTTACGCAGGGTTCAGAGTGCATCGCAGGCGAAGCAGCCGGACCGGTGAGATTCGAAAAAAGCTTCAGTGCCGTGCCTCCCCGGAAGACCCTTGCCTTAGCACATCCAAGAAGCTCCCATTCTGCCAGAACTTCTTCGCTCAATACCGTGACTTGCGACGATGTGTCATGGCTTGAACAAGGCGTTAGACAGCACAGCAGTAGTCGGTGGGCGTATCTGCCAGCCCCATAGTCCTCACCCTAGTTCGGACACTCTCTGCTGCGAAGATCACATTTGTCCAGCAGCACACGCAACGCCCTGTTGAGGGCTGCACTGCGATTTGTCTGGCCAGCGAAGGTGCCACAAAGTCTCCAAGCCTTGGTGAGCAACGAGGACCGTTCAGTTGTAGCAACTTTGATCATGTGCAAATGTGCCGGTCGACAGCTGAGGTGGCAACGTGCATGCACCTCTCTGCCGGGGAAACTTACTTTACGTACACTCAATGCAGCCCTAAACATGAGAGACTCTTGGTAGGGGGCAGGGTGCGTTTCAGGCCCACAGCGGAGGTGGGATCCATTTCGCGGTTGGGGTCGGGCATGTGCCACGTCAGGCCGGGAAGTGAGCCATTTCGTGTCGTCGTGCCGCCTGCTACTTACGGTACTAGTACTACTGCTCCTACTTCCACCGCTACTAAATCTACAACGACTACAACGACTACGAAGACGACTATTGCTGCGACTAGTACAACTGCCACACCAACGCCAACACCATCATCACCACCCCACCCCACCCACCAACCCACCCACCACCACCACCGCCACCGACGACGACGACGACGACGA